TATGTCGCCTGAGTTGTGAAGGTGCTCTGTCACTGAGGCGTAAGCTACTTAGTAGTTGATCGATAGCCCTCTGCTCAGATAATGAGGTAGCTTTCAGCACCTTTTGCTTCAAAGCACATAGGGTGTGTCTGGGTGAGGCTTTAGTAGTGTCTCCCTTACTTGTTTAGCCACTTTTTCCAGCAAAACAGAGCTTGTGTATCCAAACTCCGTGTTTTGTGAAGTTATATGATTGGCCATGAAGAAATGTTCTAGACGGACAAACCGCAACTACGGGTCATTAAACTTGAGATAAGGTATATGAAGATTAATGGCACCCACGGACCCCACATCTGAAAAGTCTTGATCACGACAGTTTAAGGACATCAGTACTGGTACAGCAAAGAAAACTTTAAGGACAACAGTGGAAAAACTACAATAAACAAGTATGTCAACGCCTATCACAGAGCGGCCAGAGGAATTTTCAGTATATATATATACATATATATCCGTATTGTATACAGTTATTAGTGACTGGTTGCAGCATTCAATTGAAAACAACAATAATATTTACTGGTGAAACTTGCGAGAGTTTATTTACGCCGGGCTAACCAGTTTGTCTAGCTCTGAAATCTGACTCATGTCAACACAATACAGTCAAATAAAATGCTACATCATAACTTCTCTTTTATCGTTATCACACAGTGACAATAATAGTAATAATAATGGTCCTAAAGAGAGGTCTTTTCAGATCCCTTTGCTCAGATTAAGTTTTAACTACTTTAGTTGTACATTTTATAAAAATTCTACACTTTTAAAAGTTTTGGATAAACTGTCACTTCACTGTCAAACAAGCCAAATTCCTAGTTGAGGGAGTCTATAGGTCCCCAATGGCAACTTGGAACAGTGTCAACTACAGGGTACTACCAGATTCTAATGCCTGGCGACTTCAACGCTCCAGCCCTCAGCCTAGAGCAAGGTGGCACGACCCCGAGCGGGTAGTTTGACCGCGACCTGCCAAATGCCATCCAAATGGCTGGACTGCAGGAAAAATCAGCAACAACATCCGCTGGGGGTCAGATGGTAAACCATCTAAACTGGATTACCTACTGACTAGTGACCACCTTCTGGTTGAAAACGTTCAGGTACAAACTCCTCTTGGAATTAGCGATCTCTCTATGGTAGTGTTCGACCTGGTAACCAGTGAAAAATTACCATGGGAGGGACCTCGCCATTACCCCTGTTACAACAAGGCAAACTACGAAGGTATGAACGAAAGCCTATCAAGAGCTCCGTGGCCAGCGGATTGGTGTTCCTTATCGTTCGACCAGCACTGGGAATCGGTAAAAGATATTATGAAGGCGGCTATCTAGCAAAACGTACCCTTAGCTGTAACAACAGCCAGAAAGCGGACCCACTGGCTAAAACGGGGCATTGGGCGTCTTTCAAAGGCCAAGGGAAAGGCATGGCACATATGGAGACTCTCCAGAGAACAGGGCGGTCATGATGCATGCACGACTCTACGGAATCGAAACAACATAAGGGTGCGGGGAGACAGGAGGTCGTTTCAGTCCAACCTTGCCAAGAGGCTTGAGGTAAACCCTAAAAACCTTTACCGATTCGTGGTAAGGAGAAAATCGACAAGCCAGGGAGCATGCGTCATAAAAGGTCCAAACGGAGAAAACCCCTCTGGACAGGAGATTGCCGAAATGTTGAGCACTGCATTTGACATGCAGCTCAGCATTCCATCAGGAAAGTGCGCATACCAACTGCACGAACAGCCCCCAACGTTGCCCTATGCTGCTGAGTTACACGAAATACAGATGACCCGCACTGTTGTTCTCGACAAGCTATCAAAGGTAAGCGCAGGAAAATCCCTAGGGTGCGACAACATCCGCCCATCTGTGCTGAAAGAACGTGCAAGTACTCTAAGTGGCCCACTCTGTGACCTCTTCCAACACTCCTTGGATGAACGAAAGCTCCCACGAGAGTGGAAACGGGCTATTCCTTCTCCCATCTTCAAAGGAGGAGACAGACAGAATCCCAACTGTTATAGACCCATAGCACTTCTAACAGTAATATCAAAAGTTATGTAAAGTGTGATGGACTACGTATCAGGGAATATCTGGACAAAGAACAAGCACTCAGTGACGCTCAACACGGGTTGTGGAAGGGTGGGTCCTGTGCCTCCAACCTCCTAATTGCCCATGATCACTGGACAGCATGTTTGGATCTCAAGGTCCCGGTTCACGCAATTTCTCTGGACTTCGCCAAAGCCTTTGACACTGTTTCACACACGATCCTAATACATAAGGTAGTTGGATTAGGCATACGCGGCCAGGTGCTATCGTGGCTGCAGAACTACTTAGACAATAAGGAGTTCTGTACGAAAGTCAACAGGGTCTACTCAACTTGGAGAACATCCTTACCCGGTGTCTCACAAAGAGCAATCCTGGGTCCACTGTTGTTCTTACTGTTTGTGAATGACCTGCCGCAACATATCAGCTCCCCGATTCTCTTCTACACTGATGACATCAAGTTATGGAGGGCAATCAACTGAGAAGCGGAATCGAAAGCATTACAGAACACTACAGGAATGGGGAAATAATAACGAACTGGCATTTAACCTAGTTAAGTGTCAGTCCATGTTTTTCCCCACTCCTGATCCCCAGAAAGTATTCTACAATCTCCGTGGTTCACGTTTATCCCATACCACAGTAAAAAAGGACCTGGGTTTAACGGTGACGGAGAAACTGGACACCAGTTCCAGTTACCCAGGTGATGCCTCAAAAGCAAATGGTGTACTACACTTTGTGCGTAGACAGCTGGGTTCCCTCACCCCAGAACTGTTTCTGAAGCTCTACAAGACTTACGTACGGCCCCACTTAGAGGTCCATAACGTCTTTGCTTCCCACAGTTGAAAAGTGGCAGTAACCTACTGGAGAAAGTCCGGAGGCGAGCCACAAAAGAGGTTGTTGGAATGCAACGAAAACCATATAAGGATAGACTGAAAGACCTAGGCCTATACTCTCTTAGCTACCGAAGGTTACGAGGTGACTTGATAATGGCTTACAAAATACTGAATAACCAAAGTCACCCGAACAGAGGGATACTACCAAGTGGCCACTATGGAGATCCTCGAGGAAACCCTCAGAGAATAGACCACCAGAGGTCAAATCGCATATGCGTTCACAGTTCTTCTCCCTCCGAGTCTGCGAGTACTGGAACTCACTACCAGCCGAGGTAGTCTCCGCCCCAACTATTGAAGGCTTCAAGAAGAGACTAGACAGTCATGCAGAGACCCACGGTCTACCCACATATAGCTGGAACACGAACCGATGTCAAGCCACCCCAACTATTTTAGCTTTGCAACCAGTTTTCTTTCTGTTGTAACCATTTAAGCCCTTTTCATCCCTTCCACTTGCCACGAGTTAGCCTCACATACCTAAGTTATTCATACCTTCGCACCCCTCCTCGTCTTACTTGAGTGTAAGTAGATTACTGCATTCGTTCACTTTTCTTTTCCTCTTTTACTCACACAAACACTTTCTAGGTTTTCTCTTCACCATCCCTAACCCACCCTAGAGAACAGTCCAAACAACTGTCTGGCAAATCGACACCTGAAGAAGCTAACTGCACCACAGTCCAAGGCGAACAAACCAGCACTTAGCTTCCTGTTCCGTAAATCAGAGCTATAGCATACGAATAGCTGGATCTACTGCATTGGAATCCGCTTAAGACCTGGAATCGTTCCGCAAGACCAAAAAGCGAGCAAGAAGAAATCAACCGGTTAACACAAGCTCGTTAAAAAGATATTGGATATTGGACATACGAAATGTTATGTAACATTTGAAACTGCCAGAACGAATGCTCAATAATAATGTATATGCAGAGGAAACAGAGGAGTAGTAATGTGTTGCGTAATTTAGTTTTCTGTCTTCACCGTCTTTTCCTATCGAAGAAAAGCACCATACAACCGTAAATGAAATAAATTGTCAAGTTATAAATGTTGTATTTGGTGGAGCATATTCATCGACAGTTAAACCTCACAAAAGGAATACAATTATTATGCTACTATGTGTTGACAATTCACTTTCCTGATTGGTTACGATTTATTTCGTTTAGTCACTATCACTTCAGTGAATCAATCTGATATAACTATGCTCATGTTAAAATCGTTATTGGCTGTACATGAAGTTGATTCTGTCATCAAGTAATCGACATTTCAACTCGGAGACGTTTTGGATTATAGAAGGCCTAAATGTTGTGAATAAACTAATATTTTAACATTATGAATTTGTAATAATAGTCGAACTCCAAATACGTTTTTCTCAAAAAACGAACCAATACCTTCATAAAATCATTTAGAGAGTCAGTGACATTTTAAATGGAATGAACTCCTTCAGTTCCGATTGTAGACATAGTGTAAAGTTAATTAGGGTTTTTACCAGGTGAATGTATACTCTAAGTTTGTAATTTGACTACTACAGGAGTAAGTTTTCGAAAATACTGTTTGCTAAATATGTTTTCATTTCTTCAGAAACCTTATCCGTTCTAGAAAAACAGTAACAACATGGGTCCGCATAAGGGGCTCATATACCAGCCATACCTAACTGACTTGGTTTCGACATTGCAGCAACATCGAATTGCAAGCTATAGTATCAAACTAAGCTCATTGAAGAAAGAATACTTAGCATAATTGAGTAGTTGGTGGGATGACACAATGATGTTTGAAGCTGCAATCTAGCTACAATGGGAATTACAATCTAGGGAATTAGTTTCATTTAGCGAACAAATCCTAAACTGGTAACCCAAGTTATTCAACTTAAATGACAAACATTTTCTCATAATTACTGTCAGTTATTTTGCTCGCTTTCTTTTCGTTTACAGTAAAGAAATGAGAAAGTATGAAATTAGGTAGACGCATTAAAAGTATAGATTATAATTTACTGTTAATATGACTATAATTCATGCAGATATCAAAGATGATGATATCTGTTTTTAAATCAACAAATATATTTCTCTCAACTTTTTTGTTGTATTATGTTTTTCATTTCTTCACCTTGTGCACGACTAGCATATTCAATCGCCTCGTATTGTACACGTTTACATACAGGTGCCTCAACACCGACAAGTGGAATATTTGATACTGATTGACCACCTAATAATCCAGATATCATCCCTGTACGACTTAGATTTGCTATTTCTTCAGCTTCTTGACTAACATGCGCAAATCCACATCCAACAGGATTTGGAGGAAGGTGATCATTAGTTAATAACTCTTGGACTGCAGAACCTTTATTATTCATAGCAGCTTCTTGTGCCTCTGATCCTCTGACAGCGCGAACCTGTAGAATACATCAATCAGTTGATAGTAAGATGGATATGTGATCATTCTTTTGATAAAACACTGTATTAGTAATATCTAAAAAAATAATTTGAAAATTATTTACCACTGAGGCTGTTTCTTTTCCCGTAGTCATATGGAGAAGGTGTATTGTTAACTCTATACAACTGATTTTCATTTTTTTTCAATGGATTATTTGCAATAGGTGAAAGGCAAAGTTAAATTCAATTGCGTTCATCAATTTAAATGTATGCGTGATCATAAATACATAGGGAGGAGCCACCGATTACTGAAAATAAAGGCCACAGAACATATTTCAAAGTGGCTTCAGAAACAAATAGTCACCTGACCCAAATGATGCCAGAAATAAACATCCTAGCTCCTCATTAGCTAAATATGATTTAGTAATTCCCATAGTAACATCAAGAACAAGATGTTCACTGAACAGACTCTTTTGAACCAATTTATTTTCAAGATGTACATTCATATATATATATATATATATATATATATATATATATATATATATATATATATATGATAGTTGGTGATGAAGATACCCAACCATCAACAACAAGCACCGATCACCATCAACGGGAGAAATCTAAAGGAAGTTGTCTCTTTCACCCATCTAGGCAGCATCGTTTCAACTACAGGTGGCGGCACGGATGTGGACGTCAAAGCAAGGATCGGAAAGACAGCAAGACAGGCCTTCATTAATCCAAAATCAGTGTAGAGATCTACTGCAATCAGCATAAAGCATGAACACGATCCAGATTTTCAACACTAGTCAGTCAAGTCAGTGCTTCTACGTGATGGTTGAGAGACTTGGGGTGTTACGAAAAGCATTTCCAACAAACTGCATGTATACATCAACCAACAGCTGCCTATGCTTTATACTGAGGATCAGATGGTCAGAAAGACTAAGTGACAAGGAACTCTGGCTGGCTGACTGGCAACCAACCAACCAACCAACTGACGAAGCAAGGACCCATCGCCCAACAAATATGCAGAGGAAAGTGAAGGTAGGTTGGATTTGACATACACTGAGAAAGCGATTCGGGGACATCACGCACCAGACCAGGCCGTTGAGTGGAATCCAAATAGGAGACGACGAGTTGGGCGTCCGGGGCGAAGGTGGCACAGAGGAGATCATGTGAGGAGGAAATGAAAGCTTGTGGACGTTATGGAGCCAGGTCCAGAAGACTGCAGAGAAGAGAGTGGAATGGAGGCGTGCTACTGAATCCCTGTGTTCCATTAGGGACCCTAGGGGTAAATTGTAACAATAATATATATGATATTTGAAAAATTATATCCCATGAGGAAAACTAAACACTGTATGACAATAATAATAATAATAATAATAATAATAATAATAATAATAAAACGCATGATGACACTGGTATTTGTGATTATAATAACAGTTGAGGTATGAATGATAACGAAGTGGATTACACAATGAATGGAATGTTTCATAGATGGTATATAACTCAGAAAAGGGTAAAAAAAACTTATGGAAGTGGTAAGTCAATTGAGCATTATGTAATAAGATTAGAGAGGTTGGGTAATATGAAATCAAGGTTGTCTAAAAATATGGAGACAATTAATTGAAATAACACTGGAAACTAACCAAAGTGAAGGCAATTATAATAACAACTTTAGTGATAGAGGAAGGATGCAAAGATTAAATTAACAAAGGAGGAGGGGAAACTAATGGGAGTGGGAAAATGTAATGGCCATGATAAAAACAGTGACTGCACATACTTCTTTTGTACTCATAGATCAGGTCTTAGTTCATGAATAACTGAAGCCTCCACTGTTTTAAGAAGTTAAAAACGAAGAAAACGTGGGAGGTGTGGACGAATTCAATAAATAATTTTTAAGTGATTGTCTATACTTTTTGAGTGATGGAAATCAATCAATTGTTCTAGAATCAAACTTCTAACAGACTTTCTTTTACCTATATAAAATCAATCAGGAATATGTTCTCGTATACGTGTAGAAGGCATTCTCTGGCTACGGCTGACGTACCTTGCTCCACAAGAGCAGGTGAACTGGTAGATGTGCATATTACTCGATTGACTTACCACTTCCATCAGTTTTTTTACCCCTTTCTGAGTTATATACTATCTAAGAAACATTCCATTCATTATGTAATCCACTTCGTTATCATTCATATCTCAACTGTTATTATAATCACAAATACCAGTGTCATCATCCATTTTATTATTATTATTGTTATTATATAGTGTTTAGTTTTCCTCGCGGGATATAATTTTTCAAATATCATATATATACGAATGTACATCTTGAAAATAAATTGGTTGAAAAGGGTCTCTTCGCTGAACAGCTAAATATGTCAGTTTCATGTTAAAACTTAAATGAACCAAATAGAAATCGGTAAAAACTTATAATTCAGGAGATGCTTTCTCATGATTGAAAAGAGCCTTCACCAGAAATTTCATCTGTGATTTCTACCTAGGTTTCTGGCTAATTGACACTCGTTAGTACAGTGGATCTTGAACCTCGACAGAATTGATGTTGCCTATGAGATTTGAAACCGTGTTTCTCAATGCTACAGTCAGAGACGTTACCACTGAGCTATTCGGGCTATGGTTGATCTATTGTAGGTACACTGACAAGTCACAAATCTATTCTCAAATTAGAATATTTTCATAGAAGAATTGATTTAAGCCAATTTAAGTTATATTTAGCCGGCGGAATTCTACTGAATTAACATGATGATCTGTATTGCATGAACTTTGAAAAAAAATAAAGGTAGAAGAAGATATTTCATCATATATTTAACAAGTTACCATGACAACATATTTCTGCTAGAAGAGTTAAACACATCCAAGCTAAAAGAAATTCGTGTGCACATCCAAAAGTTTATTTATATGTTCAACTTCCTTTCTGTTATTAAAGTAGGTTATTTTTGTTTACTATATTTCATATTTTCTTTTACTGACCAATAATCATAACTAGAATAATAAAATCTAGGCTAATCAGAACTATTTTAGTCATTTTCTATGATTGTCACACCCAAATAATCGAAGATGTATTCTACAACAATAAAATTTATATTATTCTAATGCATTTGGAAGTATAAAAGGTCATCTGTTAATAACCACATTTCTGTATATTCCTTCTAAATGAGTTTTGTTTTCAGCTAATATAACACATTCGTATGAATTAATGTACACAAAAAAGTGTGTGTATATTTTGATAAAATAGGATTTTATATTAACAGATTGAAATTCTTAAAGTCTGGGCCTATCAACTTTTGATAACGAATCGATCCCGATTAGCTGACAGATTACTTGAAGTCAGACAGTTTTGTTCTCAAGAGGACGTGTCGAAAATACTTAATAAAAGTTAGGTACTTAGTGGTAAAAATACATTCATTTTTTTATCCTGTGTAAATATCAAAGCATGTAATTCTGCCTGAAGAAATCCAGACAAAATCCATGAATCTCTTCATTGTATGAACTAGATATTTGAGGGACAAGAAAAAGGCTTATATATAAAATTCTAGCAAGTGTAAAATGTAAATTTCTAATGTTGCAGCGACTTCTATACGCTACTTCTCGGTAGGATAAAAGTGGTCTCCTGTACCTCCTTTGGATTTACATGTTGGCTTACTTTATTATTTAGAACGTATTCTTCTGAATGCAATCCAGGTAACTTTTACTCAGTAAAGTCATTCATTCGTACCGAGAATATTTAGAGGAATTCTAGGTCAATTCAGTGAGTCTTGTTGCAAATGTTCTAGGTCAATCCTGTGACCGAATTATTTGTCCAGTATATTTCAAACAATCTGGTCACCCCTTTCATTTATTAAGGTAGTTTATATGACCTCAAAACATCCTTTATACCATTATACAAGCACCATGAGGACCACATACTTAGGTTCATTGAAGCCTGAGCTACACGAAAGTTCAAATCCTCTTTCTGTATTAAAAAAAACAATTTGTCCTTATCTTAAACCATCCATGGTAATCCTTATCTCACTTTAATACTAAGTGTCAAATGAAAACACAGTATTTCACCTTATTATTTATATTTTCGAAATCTTGTATTGCCCCACCCTATTTTTTGCCCTTTCATATGAAGTGCCTTTGCAGGTGAATGTATGACCAGATTATTCAAAATGTATTGAGAAAGTAGTTTGACCTCAAAACTGACTCATAAATGTTACTCGCTGGTAATAGCTTACACTGATTTCTATAAATTTCCGAAAAATGTGTATTTCAATCACTTTTATTTTAAAATGTTTTTCAATTCCTTCTTAAAAGAAAAGTATATAACATAAGACTATGAAGAGGTTGGTTCACTTAAGGCAGTATACACGAGAGTTACTACTGTTAGATGGGATGACAGATTTTATGTTGATATCTGTGACTAGCAGCGGAATCCAGGACGCTCGTTTCGTCTTATTTGGGACTAGTCAGCTGGAAGTACCTGCGCCCCAGTGAGTGATGTTGTTCCCACTGTGACTCGAACCCAGTAACCATCGTTATTAAATTAGCCACTGGGGTACTTTTCTGTCAAACTTCATCACTGTCACAAAAATATTTTTGCAGGTTATTTATTCAGAACTTATAGCTTCTTGTTTTCAGATTTTTGAACTGAATCTGTGGTTTTCTGTTGACGTATTAGCTCCATGAATGAATGCTTCAGTGTTTAGATGGCTTCCACAATGACCCTGTTTCTTTTGTTGTAATAGTCCGTTTTGTTCTAATAGTGACTCGTTTACTCGGTGTGACTGCATCTCATTGAAATGTCTTTTTATTAGAACTTCAGTTAAACATTCTACTCTATAGAAATTGCTAACAGGGGAATCAAGCCAAACAGTTTTTATTAAATGCTGTGATTCTTGTGAGGTCGACTGGAAATTTCCTTATAAAACAATGAATGTTTTATTGACTTACCTGGAACTTTCTTCCATAACTTTTTGTTACAGAGCTTGCACCACTACCTAGGTAGTCAGACATTTGACCTTGATTTCGTTTCATAGCTTCATGGGCTTCTTCTGTTCTTAAACGATATCCAACATGAGTATTACTGCCATTTTCATCAACTCTATCACTAGTTGTGCTACACATATTTAAGCACTTCATAATTTGAACACCAGAGACAGATTTTTCTTGAATACTTTCACCGTCTGGTCTAACACGATGATGGACAGTGTTTGAAGCATCTAAATCAATAAATACATAGATAAAACAAAATTAAAACAGAATCAAAACTGTTTAGATGCATTTATTTACTAACAGATGGGTTATTTAAAACAATTAATCCCTTTGATGAATTTGTATAGTGTATTATCCAAGATTATCTACGAAATGTGATGTATTTACGTTATGCATTTCAAGCAATCTGATCACATATTCATTTATCAAACCATTTCACATGAAAGGAGAAAATAGATTTGAAAAACAGAAGTGGAGTGGTAAATTTCCACTCGATACTTGGTATCAAAGTGAGATAAGGATTACCGAGGATGATTTACGGTAAGGGCAAATCGTTTTCGAATGGAGAAAAAAGGGATTGGACTTCCGTGTAACTAAGACTACAATGAACCTATGTACGCAGTCCTGATGGCTCTTATGTAATGGTTAAGAGATTGTTTTGGAACCGATCCTAAGACTTTTTTCTATAATATGTTTACCTACAGATGTCGACATCTATTTGTCCCCCGTATTTATCGGACCGTTTGAATGCAGTTGCCGTCCCAGCCAACTGAAGATATACTTCACCACCTTTGGTTTCATAGTTCAAATGTTCTTTCCAATAAGGCAGTAAATCTTGGGCACTGTGACAGAATATAATTCCACTGAAGATGATTTATTAGACGTATCACACAATGAAATAGCATTATTCACCGAAATACATTTCGAGCACAACTTTGAAACATGGTTTACATAGTTTAGCTCTAGTTCTGTCCTCTTCTTTGTAATATAGGTAGTAGGTTTCCGAAATACCTGGAATAGATGATTAGCCCATTCCTCTTGAACATATTTGGTGTTGGTCCAGCTAATAACGTTTCGGTTATCACTCATTCCTTCTACCATACTAAGTTGGTTGTAAGGACAGACACTTTGTTCCAAACTATTGTGTAGTCATTTGTGACTGCGGGGATAACTACAATCGAGCGGCTTTCTGGATTCCTTATCTTACCTGTATCTACCAATTTGATTTAGCCAGGTTTTTGTGCTGAGAGGGCTTAAGTGACCCTAGTTGACTGCTTTCTTCTAAGTATCTGACCTTCCAATCTTTGCAAAGTGTTTGGTAAGCTAAGATTTTGCCTAATTGGATCAACAAGATTCTTCAACTTACAAAACATAATTTTAAATGAGTTCTTAGTTTGAATGTCACTCTTATTCCAGCCTCATTAGGAATACAACGTGTTATGTCTGAGATCTCTGCCGTATATATTAAAACAGTAGAAAATGTGAAATATCACTTCAAAATATTGATATGATTATTGTTATTAATAACAATTTTGCCACTATTGATCAAATGTTTCATAAATTACTAATGAATCTATGAATTAGTTTGACAGACAGGTCTAAACTGGTAAACACAATGAGGTGCGATGTAAGCAACTATAAAGTGACGAAGTTCATGTTAGAGCACAAGTATGAAGCTAAATACATTATCGAAAAACGTCTTAGGATCGGTTCCAAAACAATCTCTTAACCATTACATAAGAGCCATCAGGACTGCGTACATAGGTTCATTGTAGTCTTAGTTACACGGAAGTCCAATCCCTTTTTTCTCCATTCGAAAACGATTTGCCCTTACCGTAAATCATCCTCGGTAATCCTTATCTCACTTTGATACCAAGTATCGAGTGGAAATTTACCACTCCACTTCTGTTTTTCAAATCTATTTTCTCCTTTCATGTGAAATGGTTTGATAAATGAATATGTGATCAGATTGCTTGAAATGCATAACGTAAATGCATTGCATTTCTCAGAGTGATTATTTTCTGTTATTTTGAGCATGAATACTCTGAGATTATAACATTTTCGACAGTTCTGACGACAAGAAGTATGTTCACTCTCCCCATATATCATATGATATTGTGGCAGCAGCAAAATGTTTATCGTAAGAAATCTTTGCGTAGTTTTAATGATCATGAGTATTAAGTAGTAAGGTTTTGTCACATTATCAAAGATATGGATGATGATCTTATATTCAAAGAACGGAAATTCTTAGAATATTATTCCTCTAAGTTTTCAGTCCTTTTTATCAGTATTACCTCAACTCTGTTATTTCTATAAATTGTTACAGATTTATAAAAGAATAAATAAACTTCAGTAGAACTAGTGATAAATCTTGAGGTACCAGCTGCAAGTTGGATATCTATCTTAGTGCTAATGTCTATGACGACAACGTTGAGTGACAAACTTCAGTTCACCTCAATTGTGTATCAATAACATCTTATCCGTCCACATGTTATGCTGATGAATACAAATAGGTGAGAAATATGGATGTAGAGCTCCCTACCATTTACCGTCCAATGACTATAACGCTTCTTTTGACTAATTTACTTATCGATCAGTAGTTGACGAATTCCATTCTATCCATGACCTTCTTTTAGATCGAATTGTTCTACCTCTGTTGACATATGGGCTCCTATGCGTAGGCCTCGATATTGCCTCAATGTTAATTACGATAATTTTGTTGGTTGTGGCTAGCAGAAGAATCTACGACGCATGTTTCGTCCTATTTGGGGCACGTCAGCCGGATATACCTGCAATCCAGTGAGCGATGTTGTTCCTACTGAGACTAGAACCTCGTACCTATCACTTCAAACGCCAAGGGGTTATCCAATATGCCACGGAAAATAACAAGTATGTCAATAAATAGTAATAACTACTACTTGTTGTACAAGAAGTGTGTGCCATTCCTCCGTGGCATAGTGGATAACCCCTTGGTGTTTGAAGTGATAGGTACGAGGTTCTAGTCTCAGTGGGAACAACATCGCTCACTGGAGTGCAGGTATATCCGGCTGACGTGTCCCAAATAAGACGAAACACGCCTCCTGGATCCTACTGCTAGCCACAACCAACAAAATTATCTATCTTTTCATTTTATTATACATGAAACCTTTTTTAAATATTTGTAACTTCTCAACTTTAAACATCTTAATTCCTTCAGTTTCAGTGGGTATTTCTAACAACCTTCAACGAGGAGAGAAGAAAATGTTGCGTAACAAGATGTGGCTTCCTTTTAGTAATGTTACGTATCCAACCACAATCATAGATAGTGTTGCTTACAATGGCAGAATAAAAGTGCTTTTTTACTTCGAATCCACCAAGGTTAATTCAATCTCCCAGACGACTGAAAATAATAAATGCACTAAACTGCCAAACCCTTTATTTTAAAAATACTGAAATAGATCACTTTCGCAGCTAAGGACAGGAAATGTATACAAAAAATATTTTGATGCTTTTGCTAAAAATTTTTACGAAACTCTGCAGTTTTGAAAGTTTTGACAAAAGATGAATAAATCGTCTGTAAACTCAAGGTCAAGTTATAGTAAGTAAATAACAGAAATGAGCAACTTATAAGCAAATTGTCCTGAAATATATGTCAAACAGTATGTAAGTGTTGATAATACCACCTTATTACTTAGGTAGAAGTAGGTGAGATGCAGTTTCAACTAAAAATGTCTAACTTGATAGTTAATTGTCAAGGCCAGTCAGCCTTATAAGGACTGGATGAACTCTTGAGAATGAAAAGCATTCTTCTAATTCTTTTGAACAAATAATGAGACTTAAACTTAAGATAAATATAATGTTATTCAATTTTTCCGAACAACTGGACAACAGGTAAGGAATGAAAGATGGCTGAAGAGAACTAAGCAAGTGTTTTTTCTTTATTTAAGGCTTCGAAATGTGTGTTAACCACTTCTTGCTGAGAAATTTTATTCTGAGGACATACTGAGTATAGAAATAACCCACACTATAGGAAGTAATCTGAGGAAATTTTGATAGGTGCGACAACTGAATCCGAAGTAATAAAAGTTCTAAGGATTCATGAGCTCACAATAAAAAGATGATACCATAACATGAAGACGAATTAATCGTCTGTTATATGATTTCGTAAAAGTATTTCTTGCTTCAAGTTGAATGATAAACTTTGCCAACAGATATTTCTCACTTTGGTACACCAAAGACACAGTTCCTCATTTATTCAAACGTATGTACATATACAGATTTGAGTGTTTTTATATAAGCTACTAGTTAAGCGGAAGTAAGGAAAATAATAAGCTACATACAGCCATATGTAGTTAAGACTATTCACACTGAAGTAATAAACACCATCCTGACAACCATATAAGATTTCAAAAGAGCAATCACGGATTGTTCTTTTAAGTTTTTTTTTTCAGATTCCAAAAGCTGTTTTTATCTACTTTATGGAATCGAAACTATGTGTTGAAAAGGTTTACATTGGCTTTTCCTCTTCTTCTTTTGACCATATTATATTGTTAATTAAAAACAACTTCAGGGAATGCTTATATCCGGCATGTTACTATGATAGCTCAACGCGGCGTGGTCATTATCTCGTTGAAACAGATATTTTAAAAATGTCACCATAAATGAAGAGATTAGTTAAATTATATCCAAAATTATTCATTCTATACATTACTTGAATGAAACAATGACTCCTAATGTCAGTCACGCTTACATGGCAATATGCTGGATATCGGTAGGTAGCTAAGATATCTTTTTCATATATTTTAAGTACATATTATCTGAAAAATGTGATGCATTTGAGCCATGCATTTCGAACAATCTGATCACAGATTTACTTGTCACAAGGCATTTTATGTGAAAACTGGAAATGGGTGAAGGATAAATATGATATAAAAGAATTCAATAATAAAGCAAGATAACGGAAAGAAAAAAGAAAAGATTTGAAAACAACCTTGGCAGTACGATTAAATAAGCATTAAAACTGTGTGATGATTGGAAATGAAACGAAAATTTGGACGGCGGCTGGATAGTCAAAATGATAAAATAAGCATTACTAGGGTAGGCTTAGCGTAAAGATAAACTGTTTTTACACACACAATAGGGGTTGAATTTGTGCATGGATGGCGCTTCTACCAATCAGTGTATATGCTTCTGACAGTTTCCATACAAAATTGTAAAAGCTGTTTTAATGTCAATCATGTGACCTTTCTCAATGATATGCTTCTTAATGGATGATGATAGTTTTCTGCTACCTGTGCTTATCGATGTTTTTGAATCCAGCTGCTTTTATAGGCATATTAGTATATATTTCCCCTACCCTCAAATGCATATTTCGATTAGTCCTCCCTATTTATGTGTGTCTACAAACACACACCTAATTTACTAAACGCATTAGGACGCGACGCAATCGTTTATACAGCTTTGAGGTCTATATTGTAACAGATGTTTGGTCTTCTCAGTTACGATAAGCTTAGATGCGTAGTATGTTTGCTAGCGGCAGACCTTAACCTTGATTTTACTATTACTCGATTAGATTCTCCTTTGTATTGTAACGCTATATAAAAGCATTTCTTCAGAGGAGAGTACGGACTAGGCTTCAACGCTTGTTTCTTTATCTGATTACACTTTCAGTTCACAAAATCCTTTCCATTTATCATTGGTACTTCTTCTATAGCGCGGTAAGCTTGACCATCTTAATAACTCGTTACAACTTGATCTTCATGCTCTAGTGGCCTAGTAGTTCAAGGTCAAGGTCCTCAGCCGTCGGGCTAAAAGTGTTTTTGATTCAGATTTGGATTTATGTCTCTATATGAACAAAACAGCCTTATTGGACTATTCGGTAGCCAGTAAGATTGAGACATTCTACCTCGGACCTAGGACATTTTTATATGCGTGGGAATTGTATATATATGCTACAGTTTATCGAATAAAGTTGCCGTCCTTGCAGTAACAGGTTGAGCATCTTTAAAGGCCACCCCAGCAACCTTCAAAATAACCAATGAGGTTTCGCATTTCAGCTGGAAAGGCAGATTTCCTTAAAGTAGAGGAGTCTAATTGGTTATTTCATTTATTGCTAGGTTGGCCTTTAAAGTAACTCCAAAGGTCAATCTTTGTCTTTTGGTATTTGTTTGACTTAATGAAGAATAAGGTGTTGAGTGGGAATAGCCATATTGGCAATCACTTCCAGTTCACCACTTCGTTCAGTATCGTCATTACCTACATCTATATTTCACTGGGTCACTTCACATGCATGGATACACTGACTAATCATCCGTTCTTTTTAACGCGCTGAATACTCAAGGTCATAAGACATCTAATCCTGAGTTATTTATTATCTAGTCAGTAGTCTTTCATACTTCTTAATAATTCCCGTATTCTCATATATACAAGACTGAAAATATGTTTTTACGAAGGCCAGTGAATACACGGTAAGGATGGGTTTATCTAATAGACACCTTATGTTGTTTAGCCTTCATGGAGTCGACTGGCAGTTACAGTATGTGCACCTCGTTCGTATTTCATGCAAAATATGTATCTAGAGTTTTGTATTTGAGCTATGGCCTTGAAGTGAATTATGTGAGTTCGAGAAACTACCTTGTTTGGTTCCTAGAAACATAGAACCTCCCATGTATCCATTTCTACCAAGTTGTCTCCATTTTTCAGCATCAGATCCACGAACAGCTGCAGATCTTGGCCGAACAAGAGAACCATCATCTGTATCTAATATTTGTGAGTCCTGAGTTGTTGGTTGTTTTCCCAAGCACAAGGCCATATGAGTTCCAGTTTTTGACCATAGTGCATTATTTTGAGCTTCTTCAGTTGGACAACCATAGAGAACAGATTTTTGTAGTTCAACAGGAGGCATTTTCATGTTTAGTAAATCATCCAAACCCTGTTTAAGAAACAAATTATGGATAGATGAAGTTAATGTATTGAAATGAATTTAACTGACAACCATTAACCTTATTTGCCAACAAAATATTTAACTGTATATATTCTCCTGTTTTTAAACAGCTACCGTACTATCACGTTAGGATGATGTCATTGTAAGGTCTGACGGTGTTCTTCAAATCATCATTATCTTATCATCACCACCTTGACGAAAGAATTGGTTTTTTGCTGTTTATTACCAACAAACTACTAACCTGTGACTATGAATTTCTGTTGATCGCTCCCAAATGCCATAAGCCAACTTCAGTAATAGTTGACAGCTACTAAATTCATGATGATACTGTATTCTTCATCCAGGTACTCTTGGCCAGCAATAGTGATAATTATTTTGTTTAGTCATTTCGCTGAAATATTAAATTTTCTATAGCTTTCATTTTGTAGAAAATAGTATTACTCAATACAACATAAACTGGAAAAACCATCACACTAAACAGGAGTCTTTTGGAGTGTTTAGTGGAAAATTAAATAGCTGCAAGTTATGTTATAATACTGTTTATTTCGTCACTTGTAAAATAGTTCAGTTCTCTGCCACAGACGAATAAACACTTGGGTACTGAGTAATTTCTTCAAAGAATAAAACAGGAGTCTTATTAACATATCAGTAGTTGATTGTAGTGGCCTACAAATTAGACATTACTTGTTGCAGTGTGGTTAAGATTAGTCAGCTAAACTTTCCTGCCTCCTGAGTGGGTGTTTATGTTACAATCGAGACCTGGAAAATACTAGATAATTATAACTTCTTAGTAATGTTTTTCAGACCACAGATTCATAAGAGTCACTCATTAAGGCATGAATATTAGTTGTTGGTAAAAACAATTAATTGCATGACTAAAACCGTTCGCACTTCCATGACTTGTTTTCGCACTTAGAATGTACAGGATTATCATTTTAACTATCTGAGATAAACATGGTTTGACTGACTAGTACTGATACTGGGCGACCACTGAAGGTGAAATGAAAATTTAGACCGCGGTCAGATTCAAATCAGAGATTACCGAGTTTCCGGTCAGGTGCTCTACCAACTGAGCTACGAGATCCGACCTCTGATCAGACTTTTATTTCACTTCAGTCACAAAGTGTTTTGTCGACTACCATGTGAATTCGTGATGCGTTACTGTTGCTTAATCGTACTCACACTGGTTGTCTAGTCAGGACCTTTCATCCAAATCCAAATCTAGCTGAATTAGAGAGGAAGAGCATCATACTGGACAGCCAGTGCGCGTAAGATCAGGTGGTAGTAACGCATTACGAATTTGCATGTTAGTCGGCCAAAACACTTGTTGACTGAAGTCAAATAAAAATCTGGTCAGCAGCCGGACCTCGTAGCTCGGTTGGTAGAGCACCGGACCGGAAACTCGGTGATCTCTGATTTGATTCTGACCGCGGTCAAAATTTTCATTTCACCTTCAATCGTCGTCCAGTATCTTTATACAGGTTTGACACAGAAAGCTATTTAAAACAAAGTAAACCCCGACTACGTACAGTGTGACATCTTGGTGTTTCTAGCAATAAATAGTTATTACTTTCATTTTCTACTACCGAACAATTTAAATAGTTGGGAATTACACAAAACGTCCAGTGTGACTGATCGCTTAAATGGAACTGATTCACAGAGTGAACTACTGGTCAAGTTTTACACCATATTTCCCTGGTACTTGGTGTATTTCGGTAAACTTTGGAAAATCGACCGATAACTAAGAAGTTATAACATTCCAGGGGTGCGCACAGATTGATTGTAAAAGTATCTCTATCAAACTGCTGAGTTATCGTTTGGAATGACATATTTTTTTCCTTAGAAACGTTAAAGCATCTTGATTAACTCATGAAAATGTGTACATATCTTCTTTTTAATATACATATATATTCTTTACAAAGACGTTCCTGCTAATCAGGTCTCCTGTTCCCTTTTGTCGCACTGAAAACATATGATTAAATAAATTATTGAAACATTAGTCTAACATATTTATTTCGCAAATAACTTACTCGATTCTTCATTGAGTATTCTATGCCCTCATACTTTACCCTTGGACGTACTAGTGAAGTTTCAGCTAACTGGTCTGTTACCTGAGGATGGGCAAACCAATTATTCTCTTCATTACGTCGATTATAACTGGATGATGTGGATGACTTTTTCTGATGACCGTTCACTTCAGCATTCGATTGATCAAATGATTTATGTTGAAACCAATCAGATTCTTGTGTCATAGCCTTAAAATAACCTGATTAGAATAAATTAACAGCTTTTGTGTAATGTATTAGTAAAACTAAATATTCAAGTGAATATTATCGTACATTCAAAAGTGTAGCAAATTTGAAGATAGTAGAAACAAACACTCCAAAAATCTTATTGAACAAGTAACAAACTACAAACAGTTAGAAATATGCGCGTTACCATTACTAAAAGTAGTTTGTAATCATAAAAATGTAGTGTACCTTTAAAAGCTGAATAATTAGTTGTCATTTTAATGATATGCCAATAATTTGTATAAATAGAATAGGACTGATTTCATTCAATTTACTTACTATAACTAAATGAATATGTAGCTTGTTACACAGTCAAATAATCGAACGGGATTATGGAAAAAGATTTGTAACTTTTCTGTATTTATTTACTAGACTGTGAAATATACTATCTGCTTGAAGGTGGACAGTACTGCTCAGAATTAGAGATTTCCAGTGAAATTTGAAACAATATGTAAATGTTAAAGGATAATACGCTGACATCGATAAGCTACAATCTATGGAATATAATTTTGAAGTAATATTCACCACGGACTTAAATCAGACAAACGACGATTGGAAACTCTATAATACTGGACAGCTTTTACGTCGAAGTCTAGAAACTCATACCAGTGATTACCATATAGACTGTAGGATGTCAAGCCTAGAGCAGTAAAATTTCTTGGAAAGCAAGTTACCATTCAGTTACTCAGTTGGAATCCAAAGGTTGTTATCTTCCTATTTCTGTCCACTAGTGATATAGTGTGAACATTATCCAATGGTATTAACAAGGGAATTTGACAACAGAAAGCGTACTTCTGACCGCACAGCATTTGACATGGATGTATGTGTTGTCTAACTGAATACATCTGTACGAACTGGAAAAGACTGTGACAGTCGAAGATGTCTATTTGTAGTCTCCCACTGACTGCAGGTCGGATGATATAAAGAATGAATCCCGTAAAACACTGACGGTTTCACTACGTCAAGCCGAACTTTCAGATACAGCCAAAATACCAGACCACTTCAACACTTAGTTAGAAAGCTGAGCCACTCAGAAAACCATCTTGGAGCTATTTGAGGTATTCAACGCCCAGAAACAGACAATAATGACCATTTCTTAAGATTTTGTCCCGATAGTCACTTGTTTCTAGCCAGCATTAACTTCACTCATAAGAAGAGACAATGTCTCACTTAGCGTCCTTGACATGAAGGCGACAATGCATTTAGATAGATCATGCTGCCATAGGCTATCGCTGGAGAGGATCACTGGAGGGTTACCTCTCTTTCTGGAGTACATGGTCGCACTCTAGTCATAGATTACTATGAGCATAAGTAAATCTGCTTCTTATTGATTGCAGAAAACAAGCAACAGTGAAATATGCTTGTGCCCTGCTGGAAGATAAAGACGTCAACTGTTTATCTTGGGAAGAGATAGCGGAGCATATATCTGAACATGACACCGATTCCCTTCAGTATCTGGCTTGGCATGATATCACTTTACTGTACGAAGAACGGTAAAGAAACCTGGTAGTCTACAACCAAATGTTAGCAAAAGCCAGTGGAATTCCTCAACTTTACTCGAACTGACTGATGCGAGAAAACTCATTCCAGCAAACATTGACTAAAATGAGGATTGAAAGCAACCGAAATATTAACTGACTAGGAGTCATCAAAATGATCGTGAGCACTGATGGTTAGTGTTATATATTCCAAGCGTATATAATACTCACGCTTAACTGACTGACAGCTAACTTCGTATGCAAAAGCCATCGACTTTAACCCAGGACGAATAGAGAAAAAGACTGAAATGGATGGGAGAATTTGTTTCTCTGAGAATAATTAACAGTTAGCCCAAACACATGTGAGTATATGTACGCATGAGATATAGCCTTGTTCGGAAACTTAGATATTAACATAGTAAAAGTAAGCATTAGCCAATAGGCGGATTACCTTGCAAATAGGTGCAGAAAATGAACTACTGGCCATACCATAAAAAATGGTGTGAAAACGACAATTTACAAAACAAGTCCAGATTGATAACAATATTTTATACAAAATTGAGGCCTTCCAACTGTTGGCGAAAACAAAAAAAAATGGGCAAGACATCAACAAATTTAGTACTCGGCAGTTATTTAGACCATCATCACAGAAAAAGATGGGACCTCAATAACCCCTTACGAAAGACTGTTGAAAATGTAGGAGAAACACTGAAGAAAAGTTCAATTGGTCTATAGCTTTCCCAGTCACCCAACACCGAGGGCTAACCTGAACGTAACTAACATGTCTGCCCTCAAACACTCTTCGAAGCCGAAGAGTTTATTTTAAACCTGGAATGATGCAAAACAGTGGAACCTGATGGTTTACATCTAAAGGTTTTTAAGGGTTAGAATAAAACCCCCTGAATCAAGTAATTTAGATCCTATTTAGTGTGTGAAATTCAGAGGTAGTTCTATTAGATTGATCTAGATCGCTTATCTAGTCTTCGTATGACAGTCGAAGGAAATTCTATTTTACCAATATTGTGTCTAAGATTCTAAGGTTCGTAGTAATACGACGCATAACCGGAGCTCGAAAACAGCAAACCTGAAAAAACCAGACAGGTTTCAGGTAGAGATGAAAATGCACCAATCAGATCTTCAGTTTTTGACAGATTTGAAAACACATATATGCTTATCGCACTCGATACTTACCATATTTTCAGGCCTGAAGAGTATCAGGTCGGTCAACAGATCTTGCAATATCTGACGGTGAAAGGAATGCCAAAAGAAAACATAAAATGTTAATCGAAGCTCTCTTCTCCAAGTCAAACAGTCATGTGAGGGCATATGAAGTGACGACAACCGAAAGGTGTCTGCTAGGGAATTTCACTATCATCTTTCTTGTTTATCCTTGTTATGAAATTACTAATCGACATAACCCTAGGTATCTCGAACTTCTTATGGATTGACGTAGGTCCAGGAAGACATGTGGTTGACTTGTAGTACTCAAACAACATTTTCCTATCATACGAAATTGAAAAAATGCAGAGTTTTTGAATACCTTCAGCAGAAGTCTGTATGACAAAGTGTCAGCTTGGATACAAAAGGCCTGCCTAACATATGCCGACTTATATCATCTCTAGAACCAGAGGGATATCCACTTCCTATTAAAGAATAAATATGCTGTGAAAAAGTTGGGAACATTCAGTGACTGAGATGACGCTGAAATGCTTAACTCATGAGAAGCCGACACCTACCCCAACATACAATATTATTTGAAGTAGGATTGGGTTGTAAGAAGGCACACACTAGCCAACCCAAAAAATGGCACCAATGAGTGAAGTCTCTGACTGTTTGGTCTGAACAGTGTGGAGAACTATAAGCTACCTGACTGTGGTTCACAAGGCGATAGGAGTCAATGGTTGGAGACTGTTGGCAACATGGATGAAACCCATCACAATGACTGATGGTTTCAGCTCTTGATATTTCCAAAAGTCTGAATGTATCCATTAGCCTCCACTTGTTTCCTCTCTCTATCACCCCACCCCACACTTTTATCTACCCTAATGTCACTATTATTCTATCAATTCATTTTTATGCTGCTGTGAAGTGTCATAACTTTAACAGATTCACCTCTGTGCCAGGTTCTACGTTGATCTATCTGTCCATTCATCTATCTGTCTGTCTGCCTGCCTGTCTGTCTATCTATCTCTTATCACCTTACCAGTTACTTCGGTGGTTTTTCTGCAAGAGATTTATAAATTCTTTGACTACGTTGCATTTTCAATTTTCATTCTGCTACAGAAAATGTAGACGGTTATTTATTAGGTAAATAATCTTTCAACCTTCCAAGTAGTCGACTTCAGATTAAAAGACCACTTGACTAACAAGTTTTGAATCATATCATTTGGTTTGGTTACTCTTTGATTTAAATAAGGTCTGAACAACTGAGAGTTAATTTTCAATCAGTCCAGCTAACAGACAGCTCTTATCATTATCTGTGTTTGGTGCTGAGCTACTGATTCCGATATTGTCATGGTTATGCGTCCAGGATTAACACAATCGCTCTGATGTTAAATGACGAATTACATCTGCTTCCTAATCACTGAATGATTGATAATTTCTCAAGCGTAAAATTTAAAACAAGTCTGATAAGTGATAATTTTTAGCCTCCATACTGTTTTGTAGAATAAAACAATAATTCGTAACTGAATATATGCTTGTGTGTTTCAAAACAATGTCAGTTCTAAATCGATTTCAGAATGTAGCAGACAATGTGATCATTGTCATAAATGTGAATACTTTTGTGTTCATTCTACCTATTTGTTGACAATTATTATAGTATTATTATTATTTATCATTATTTTTCCCTTGGGTTCCTAGTAGAATATAGGGCTTTAGTAGCACGCCTCCATTCCACTCTGTTCTCTACAGTCTTTTCAACCTGGCTCCACATCTGCCTAGAAGCTCTCATTTCTTCCTCGCACGATCTCCTCCGTGTCACCCTCGGACACCCAACTCGTCCTTTCCCCTTCGGACTTCACTCGAGGGCCTGGCCTGGCGCGTGATGTCCCAAATCGGTCTTCTCAGTGTGTGTCCAACCCGATCCGTCTCCACTTTCTTCTGCAAATTCGTTGGGCGATAGATTCTTGATTGGTTCGTTGCCAGCTAGCCAGAGTTCTTTGTTGCTTATTCTCTCTGGCCATCTATCTGATCTTCAGTATCGAGCGTAGGGAAATGCTTTTCATGACACGCCAAGTTTCTGAACCATATAAAAAGCACTGACTTGACATTAGTGTTGAAAATCCGGATGTTGTTTTTGTGCTGAGTGCAGTAGATCTCCACACTGATTTCGGATTAGTGAAAGCCTATCTTGCTTTTTCGATCCTAGTTTCGGCATCCTCGTCTATGTCGTTACCTGTAGTTGAAATAATGCTACCTAGGTAGGTGAAAGAGACAACTTCCTTTAGGTTTTTCCCGTTGATGGTGATTGGTGCTTGTTGTTGA